CTTCAAAACGGAGGTACGCTACCTCGGCTTTGTACTAACAAACAAAGGACTTTCGATTGACTCGAACAGAGCAGAAGACATCCTTGCAGTTCAGGTCCCAGAGAACCCAAAGGAACTGAGGACATTCCTGGGAATGGTGAACTTCGTTGCCAGGTTTATCCCGAACAAGTCGGAGTTAAGTGCACCTCTACGAGATCTGCTGAAGGACAACGCTTGGGTCTGGACCGACTCCCAACAAGAAAGCTTTGAGCGTCTTCGGACAGCCCTATCACAGGCCCCGGTCCTGGCATACTATGACAAGACGCAACCCCTTGTGTTGCAGGTAGATGCTAGCCAACGAGGAGTAGGAGCTGTCATCCTGCAGAATGAACACCCCCTGGCCTACTCTTCTCGCTCACTGACTGAAGTGCAAGAGAGGTATGCACAAATTGAAAAGGAGATGTTAGCCATTGTGCATGGATGCACTCGCTTCCACGACTACGTCTTCGCTCAGCCGTGCATCCTGGTGGAAAGTGACCACCGCCCTCTCGAGGCGATCTTTAGGAAACCACTTCACCAGTGTCCGCTACGTCTGCAAAGAATGCGCCTGACTCTCCAGAAGTACTCACTTGAGATAAAGTACAAGCCGGGAAACGAGATGTTCATCGCAGACGCCCTGTCTCCGAAAGAGAAGGTACCAGAGGAAGAACACTTCCAAGTGAACGTCATCCAAGAGCTGACAGTCTCTGCAGAAAGACTACAGCAGATCAAGCGGGCAACAAACCAAGATGAGAATCTCCGTACCCTGAGAGAGTATGCAAGCACGAAGTGGCCAGAAGACAAAAATGCGATCCCCGAACAAATCCGAGCCTACTGGCCGTACCGTGATGAGATCCATTCGGAAGACGACCTCCTCTTCCGATCAAACAGGCTGATCATTCCCAGCACAATGAGGAATGAAGTCCTAGACCTCCTGCATGCAGCCCATGGGGGTACAGAAAAGATGAAACAACGTGCCAGAGACGTCATGTTTTGGCCTGGAATGTCAGCAGACATCCAAGAGAAAGCGGAAAGATGTGCGCTCTGCAGACAACACAAGCCCAGGAACCAACGGCTGCCAATGATGAGCCATGATGTCCCAAAACTGCCCTGGCAGACAGTTGGCATGGACCTTTTCCACCAAGCAGGAGAAGAGTATGTGATCATCGTGGACTTTTATTCGTTTTATTTTGAACTTCGACGCTTGAAACACAAAACGGCAGATGCTGTCATAAAGTTCTGCCAAGAGGTCTTTGTTACGCATGGTCTTCCCCACAAGCTGATCAGTGATAATGGGCCACCGTTTAACAGCCACAAGTTTGCCGAATTCATGGAGCGCTGTGACATCATCCACGCGACGTCAAGTCCACACTACCCCCGTTCAAACGGAATGGCCGAGCGAGCTGTCCAAGAGGCAAAGAAGCTTCTGAGCAAGACTCCCTACGATACGGCAGAATTCTACAGCGCCCTGTTGGAATGGAGGAACATGCCAAGAGACAGGCTCCTGCAATCCCCAGTCCAGCGCCTGATGGGAAGAAGGACAAGGACACTGCTGCCTACGCACCGCAAGCTTTTAGAGCCTGAGACAGTGCCACCCCAGCAGGTGACTGCAAGACTTAAGGAGATATGCCAGCACCAACAGACCTACTACAACCAAGGTACAAGAAGTCTAGAGCGTTTGCACCCTGGGTCGACGGTCTCAGTGTTTGACAGTCGGACCTCTCAGTGGTCGCCAGCAGTAGTAGTGACAGACGACCCTGCACCCAGATCGTACATCGTGGCAAACGAAGATGGGCAACAGCTTCGTCGCAACAGGGAGCACATCCGCTCTCATAGCCCCACAACGACGACGCCACAGCCTTCGGGACCCCAACCCACGGCACTACGGAGAAGCTCAAGACAGCCCCGCAAGCCACGTCGCTACATAGAGTGTGACTGAGCAAAGCTTTAGCTCCAGATTTGTTTTTTCTTTTATTAAAGAAAGGGAGATGTGGCCGGCGGCATCGTCAGAAGCATTACCGACAAGCAGCGCCGCCAGCCCTTGGCAGTGGCAACTAAAAGCGCGCCAATAAACGCCATTGTTCTCTCAACAATCACCGCGTTGGGTGGTTTTTACCCGCGGTCTACAGAGACCGCTAAGCTCGGAGGCATCTTGCACCCGGCGACGAAACTATGACCGCGCTTGCCTCTTTGCTCGTTGTTTCGTGCCTCGCTGCAATTTTCTCGATTACTTTGTATCCGCTTCTTGGTAAGTGCGTTAAAATGTCTCTGTGCTAGTGACACTTATATACTTAGCATGGGGAAATGCTTCGTGCCAAACTGCAACACTGGATACAAGTCCTGCAAGAGCAAGTTTTCACTGTTCAAGCCACCCGGCGATGCCGAGAAGCTCGCGACTTGGAGGCGGGCAATTCCACGGCAAGACCGGGTCCTATCGAGGCAAGACCGTGTGTGCGAGCGACATTTTGCGCCACATTTTCTTGTAAAGACGTGGTGTGCGAAATACGAAAACCATGTTTTGATGCAAGGTAACAGGAGGGCGACGTTAACTAAGGACACCGTTCCGTCTATTCTTGATGACTGCCCCGCGTACCTTTCCAGGAGCGTGAGGCCTCCTCGAAAGCAGGGGAAACATAAAGCTGCAAGTGCCGCAAGCAGCGCAGCTTCGGGGAAGTCTTGTCGCATTTCGACTGGTGGCGGTGTATCATCCTCGGGCATAGTGAGCTCTGAAGACGTCCAGGCCAGCTCGTCAACAGAGGTCCATGATGGAGCAGCAGCACCGGCTCAGTCTACCTTTGACCTGCTTTTTGAGAATGCAAACTCTGTGACTCTTCCTGAAGCCTCATGGGCCGTCCATCGTGTCGACATGGAAGGTGTATGTGATGTGGTGTACTGCAAGATCGTGGTCAGCCAAGGCTCGCCGGTGTCGACCCTCTGCATTTCCAAAGCGGTGCACATCAAGAGCGACGCGAGCGTCAATGTGCTCCTGCTGGGGAAATTACTGGATTGTGACTCTGTCGGGGTTGTTCAAACCGTGTCAACCATTGCCGACATAGAACCAATTTTGCGTACTGTGGAGGCAATCCGGATTTGTTCGGGGGGGACCCAGTATCAAGGAGTACCCCGGAGCGCACCCAGAATGCGCCTATGTTGACCCGCAAGGTGACTGGAGGCATTCTAGGTGTTCTCTGACATTGCAAGAAGGGACTGTATGCAAGGCTTGCAGCAGCCTTGCCAACACCTTGTGCATCCACACTTCCCGTCAGCTGGCCAGGAAGAAAAGGGGGGTGGTACAACGCATCAGAGTACCGCAAATGTCTGACCAAAGGGACAAGATTGAAACACTTCGCTGGGCCAGGAGGACGCTGAACAGGTCAAAGGCTCGACTTTGGAAAAGAAACAAGATGCTCTTGAATGAACTGCAGCAAGCAAAAAACAAAATGAAGTCGCTACAAAATGAAGAAATTCAGGTCCGGCTTCAGGAGCAAAACATCCCATCTGTGCACTTGCTTCTCATCAGAGAGTGTGTTTCGGCAACAAAGCACAACAAAGAAGAACCGTAGGTACACAGACAGTTGGTTGTTGCCGTGTCTTCTCCTTCACATTCGTAGTCCTGCTACATATGCCTTCTTAAGAAATAACGACATCCTCCCTTTGCCGTGTGTTTCTACAGTCAAAAAATATATCAGCATGATGGGACTCAAGTGTGCATGGTCTAGATGAAAAGTTTTTCAAAGCATTTGCAACTAAGATGGCAAGCAAGCGTCCTATGGAGCGGAGAGGAATGCTTGTCCTTGACAAAATTCAAGTGAGAAAGGAGCTGGCCGTCAATTCAAAGACAATGACATACTCAGGGTTCATTGACCATGGGCAGCCTGATCCTGACTGCAAGGAGCTTGCAGACCACGGTCTTGTGTTCGCTTTTGCTCCATTTGCTGATGACTATTTGCAGCCCATTGCAGTTTTTGCTTCAAAGGGACCAACAAAAGGAACTGTGTTCTCACAGTTAGTCTTGCAGTATATTCTCAAGCTTGAGGAAGCAGGCGTACATATCGATGGAATTGTTTGCGATGGTGCAACAACCGACCGTACAATGTGGAAGAACTTCGGAATTAGTGGTGTTTTGGGACATGTCACCAACTCATTTGAGCACCCATACGACAGCTCGAGAAGAGTGTTCATGCTCTCTGATGCACCACACCTCTTCAAGTGTATAAGAAACCGCCTTTACAGCAAGATGTTCCATATCGATAAAAAATTTGTATCTTGGTCATGCTACGATGCTCTTTATGTAGCAGATGTGAAGCATGCAGCTGATGCAAGGGTGTGCTCGAAGCTTACATACAGCCACATCAACCCATCAAACATGCTGAAAATGAGAGTGAAACTTGCAACCCAGCTGTTTAGCGAGTCCGTCACCAGGGGGCTTCAATTTTACTCCAAGCGGGGAGCACCCCGTTTGCATGACGTGGAGCCAACTGTGCACTTCACTTTGCTTATGAATAATCTATATTTGACGCATTAAATCGTCGATTTAAAGCTGAGGGCGTGCGATCGACAAGGTGGAAATGACTTCCAAGTCATTGAAGACTCCATGCGGTGGCTTGACTCATGGGAACAGGAAGTAATCAATGGGGACGTTCACAAGGACTTTTTCCTGACTCCGTCGACTGCACAAGGCCTCAGAGTGACAATGAAGTCAGACGGTGAGCTGTCGGATTACCTCTTGACAGAATGTAACTTTGGATACGTGTTAACGGCCAAAATGAATCAAGATCGCCTGGAATGTTTTTTCGGAACAATTCGGCAAGCGGGAGGACAGAACAAACATCCAACATTTCCCACATTTATGCAGCTATATCGCACGCTTTCTGTCTATACCCTGCTGAAACCTCCCAAAATTCGGAAACTGCTCTGTAACCACTGAAGGGCAGTGCCCATACATTTCTTTTGCTGATGTAAAAGAAGTTTTCCAGGTTGGTATGCAGCAAACGTGCCGACTAGACAGCCTGAAGAAGAGACTTGATGGGCTCATCGAAGATGGAACCTGGGAGTGCGAAGATGTCTTTGAGCATGACTACAAGCGTGCTGAAGTTGTGGATTGCATCATTTATTATGTTACCGGTTACCTGTGCAGAAAGATTGGCAACAAAACGACTTGCATGCTTTGCAAGAAGGGACTGGTTAGCTGGCAAGGGTTTTACGACATGCCAGAAGCGGAGCTGGTCAACTGCAAAACTCGTCGAAAGTTAAGCCATCCAAATGTCAATATCTACTACCTACTGATGGCCACAGAGAAACAGTTTGCCAAGGCTGTACGTTGTACAGCTTAACACTTATGATCTAACATGCATTGCATGTACTGGGGCAAGTTTAAAGATAAGTACTTAACTGAGTTGTATCTGCCCCTCTTCAATTTTCGCCTTTATATTTAACTGATGCTGCTTCACTTGGTAAATTGCATCAAACATTTACTGAAAGCAACTCTCAACAGTCGGGAAGAGGCCTCAGTAGGCACTATCTGGAGGTGTGCATCCTTTACTTCACTGCCACTTTACAATATTTTGTCCCTTCTAGGAACCTAACTATCTCTGACCCCAGTGTGATGGCATGCCGGCAAATTATGAAGAGGGACTAAAATAACAAAAATTTCTACTCTGTTTTGGTTCAAGTGTTGGTATCCCTCCTTTCATCTCTTCTACAGACCTGCATGAAAGTATCTCTGACACCAGTGTGAGGGCATGTCTGAGAGTCACGAGAAAGAAATAAAATAGCGAAAATTTGTACTCTGTTTTGTTTCAAGTGTCGGTATTTCTCCTCTCGTACCTTCTACGTGCCCGCATGAAACTATCTCCGACCCCAGTGTGATGGCATGTCTGCAAGTCACGAAGAAGGAATAAAATAGCAAAAGTTTTTACTCTGTTTTGGTTCAAGTGTCGGTATTTCTCCTCTCGTACCTTCTACGTGCCCGCATGAACCGACCCCAGTGTGATGGCATGTCTGCAAGTCACGAAGAAGGAATAAAATAGCAAAAATTTTTACTCTGTTTTGGTTCAAGTGTCGGTATTTCTCCTCTCGTATCTTCTACGTGCCCGCATGAAACTATCTCCGACCCCAGCGTGATGGCATGTCTGCAAGTCACGAAGAAGGAATAAAACAGCAAAAATTTTTACTCTGTTTTGGTTCAAGTGTCGGTGTTTCTCCTCTCGTATCTTCTACGTGCCCGCATGAAACTATCTCCGACCGCAGTGTGATGGCATGTCTGCAAGTCACGAAGAAGGAATAAAATAGCAAAAATTTTTACTCTGTTTTGGTTCAAGTGTTGGTATTCCTTTATACAGCTCCTGTATGATGTTACGCGACGGAAAGTGAGCGAAAACACCTTCAGGATCCCGTTGAAGACAAAGATGTTGATGACGCTTTGGCTCCTTGGCAACCAGGAGTCTTACAGGGGTGTTGCTGATCGCTTCGGTGTGAATAAAGGCACATTATTCTTTGTCGTGGAGCAGATGATCTGTCTTTGGACAGATTGTGCCCAAGGAGAGGTTGTCTGGCCCACTGACATTGATGGGGTCGAAAGAAGCTTCAGGGCACGCTGGAGATTTCCAGGTGTAGTTGGTGCTGTGGATGGGTGCCACATAAACATTAAAGCACCAAAAGATGACCAATCTGCCTTCTACAACAGGCATGACGTGCACTCAGTTATCTTGCAAGCCTGTTGTGATCAAGACATGTGTTTCTCACACATCTGTGTAGGGAAACCAAGCAGGATGCACGATGGCCGTGTGTACGCCATGTCTGGCCTCGAGGACTTTCTCGTCTGCCTTCCTGAAGACAAGCATGTTCTTGGTGACTCGGCATATCCACTGAAAATATTCCTTATGAAACCATATAGAGATGATGGCAGACTTACTCCCCAGCAAGTAAAATTCAATAACATACTGAGCGCAGCACGCTCGGTCATTGAAAGGGCCTTCGGGCGCCTAAAGGGGAAGTTCCGGCGCCTGAAGTTCCTCGACATGGGTCGTGACGATCTAATCCCAAAAATGGTATGTGCGGCATGCATGCTACACAATTTCATTCTGAAACACCCAGCTGGCTTTGATGACGACAAGGACGACGAAAACCCTCGTCGGCCGCCAAGGGTGCACAACGAGGAAATTGAGCCCTCCGCTGCTCAGAAAAGAGATGCGATTTGCTCACGGCTGTGAACAAATTTTTATCCATGTACTTCATATTAATAGTTGATTACACTTGTGTTTCTATCCAAGTACACGGGTTATCGATGTTGGCAAAAAAATGTATACAGTATTGCACTTGGTTAGTCCAGAAAAAATTAAATGTGCACCATGTTCTTGAAGCACACCTACTCACTTTTGAGAGCTTCCTTACAGCAAATTCAGGGATATGCTTGCATGATGTACCTTCCTGCTCAACAAAACATCCTGTGCTGTGCATGAGATCTTGCTGTCAGCGTGTAGTTAAATAATATAAAATTACACCTCAGTGTTACCGTTGCATCATTGTCATCATCACCATGATGGAACTGGGCCAGAAATAGGCTGCTGATGAAAGGCATTGCAATAAGAATGACAGTTAACTAAAATGTTTCCACAAACCAAAACAAAAAAGCATGCTTCTTTCATTCAGTTGCAAATTCATAACCAAAGCTATCAACATTTGAAATTAAAGGTTGAACTGTATGTAAGCAATTTAGCGAGCGACGATTAAAGTATACACATCAGCTATTAACAGTTTTGCGAAGAGACGTTTCTCTAGATAACGCGTGCGAAAACACAATCTCGTTCCTCGCCTTCTTTTTCGTGCTTCCAGATCTATCGCACAAGCTAGTGTGTGAGCTAGCAAGTTGTATGTTCTATTTCCTATGGTTGGGATCGCCAAGACGCGAGATTTCCGTCACTTTTCGACCTGCTTGTGTTGTAGGGAAAAATGCACGCTATAAACTGTTCCGTTATGTCAATCGCCGAGTCAAGGTCCGACATATATTGCAGAGGATAATTTCATCTTATGAGTAGTTCATTTGGGGGGCCATTTTAAAACCCAATGAAATGTTGATCCTGCATTCATGCTTATGCTCAAGCCCCCATTTAATGGAGGCTTGAGCACTTTGAGAGCTGTGGGAATACCATACTTTCCTTCTAATGCTTAATGACAGTGTTCCCCTAGCTATCTCCCTCCCCAGGAGACTGCATGTCCTCTAAAAGTGTTATTAATAAAACCATATAGGGATGATGGTTGACTCGTTCGCCAGCAGTTGATATTTAATACCAGTCCTAGCGCAGCACCCTCAGTTATCGAGGGTGCCTTTAGATGACTAAACGGAAAGTTCGGGCGCATGAGGTACCTAGACATGGGCGGGGATAGCCTAATCTTAAAAATGGTGCATGTGTCATGCATGTGTGTCATGCCGTGTATGTCGCACAAGTTTATCCTCAAGCACCCAGCTAGCTTTGATGACGGCAAAGGTGACAGAAGCCCTAATCAGCCAGCCAGGGTGCATGATGATGAAATTGATCCATTTGCTGCTGAGAAGAAAGATGCAATTTGTTCAGAGTTCGACTTTTTAAATTGTTTTTAATCCATGTATTTCAAAACATGTTTCATAACACTGACCAATGTACTTGAGTACATAAGTTTTTTAATCCATGTGTTTTATAACATATTTCATAATACTGACCATTGTACTTGAGTATGTAAGTTCTGAATAAATGCTTGTAAATAAAGTATTGCACTTCATCACTACAGGATTGCACTTCACCATTCCAGAAAAATGAGTATCACAGTGAACTTGCTGCAGGATAAATTATGGATGTATGCAAGGTGCTCATTGTTTTATAAAACTACCAACCTTAAGGCATCACAAACCCTTAGCATGCGTTCATGCCTTTCACTCGCACGCTTACTGTTGGGAGCTTCCGTGTTGGCTGTTCACTAAACGTTTCAGCAGTTTTAGCTTGAGACGCTGCATTTTTAGCTGCTGGTTGTACCGTCTCCGGTCTTCGATTTCCCACTCCTCCATCTTCTGTAGCATTTCGCTCAGCATCGTCACTGGTCTGCGCCTCTTCTGCTTGTTTTCGTTGTCGCCCCCTGCCTCACCTTGTGTGTTGCCCCTGCTCACTGGAACTGGAACTGGGGCTGGGGGAGGCTGCACAGCTGCAGATGTCGAGGCACCTGAATCTGAGAACACACATTTATGCCATCATTAGGGAGACAGATACCAAAGCTGTTCAAGCCCACTAGAATCTCCTAAAAACACTATGGAATAATTTAAAGGAGGATCTTGAACCTTCACCAGAGGCTTATTGCATGACTTGAAGGGGTGCTCAGCAAGATTTTAGTAGCAACACATACTAACTATGACAATAATAATTCCTGGATAACGGGAACAAAGGGGGCACAGGACAAACAAATCTGTAACACAGCTAGGTGACTGGTGCACGACCGAAAAAATCAGCCTGGTCCTGGTTGCGCGTTAAAGATTTGTTTTTGTACTTTGTTCCCCTTCTCCAGGAATTATTATTGTCATTTTTGTCCAGCTCGCTTGCATCTTTGCATTCAATTGCATTATCATCATAACCTTAACATGCAGGCCGTTCATTTTGTTGATGTTAGACTGGTGGCAGCTGCAGCATGATAAAACTTGTTTGCTTTACTGACGCAAAACTCCTAGGTAGCTCGGTTGGTGAAGCGCTCCACTGGAAACGGAGAGGTCCCTGGTTCGATAACAGGACCAGGCAGATTTTTTTTGATCGCGCACCAGTCACCTATCTGTGTTTGGAGATTTGTGTTTGTCCTTTGCCCCTTTGTTCCCCTCTCCAAGGATTATTATTGTCATTCTTGTCCAGCTCGCTTGCACCTTTGCATTAATTGCATTATAATCACCTGAATATGCTGGCTTTTCTTACCCAGTATGCTATTTATATCTCTAATTTCAGTAAAGCTGTTCTTAATGGCAAATATTAACTTGGCTTGGGAACAAGTTCTACTGTCCATAGAGTGAGCTTGTGCCTGCTGCGACGTCACTTTTTCAGTATGCCAAGAGTGTTTCAGTTGAAAAAAAAAAAAAAATGTGAGGACCAAAATTGAAAATTTAATAGAATTATTAAACAGTTATTCTGACGAAAAACTTGAGTTGCCAGTTTAGCCTACACTTTGGCATGCCGAGTCAACTGCGAGTCCAATTAATGACCCTGACAATTAATGAACAATGGGACTACCCCTTTAAAAAGGACCATCAACAATACTGTCTGAATATTACACACTTGACACAAGCACACTGACAAAAGCAAGATGCAGGTATACTCTCATGCAATGACAGTGAATTGGAAGTTTCTTTTGCAGTGTAATTTCAAGGATAGAGGCAGACTATTTCTTTCACTATCTCCTTTGTAGAGCCTGTTAGCATTGTAAAGTGAATCACCTTGGGCAAGAATGTTGCATGAGCATGACTAGCTCTCTTCATATCTACAAACCCAGGCTGACGGCAAACCTTACCTACGATGCTTGGTACTGGAGTGGGCGCAGGAGGTAGCGTAATAAATGGTGCAGTGAAGTCGCGACTTTCTCGGAGGGCCTCGTCCATTGCATCAAAAAACTCCCAGTCTCGGCGTCCCCTGCCACTTGCTCGTTTTTCTTGCTTCCTTTTGACATAGGTCCTTTTGAGCCCCTTCCACTTTGTTTCGCATTCCTCTGCAGTTCTTTGGATCCCCTTCTCAGCTAATTCTTCACTGATTTCCCGCCAGACATGTTTCTTCTTTTTTTTTGGGTTATTAAAGTCCACTTTGTGGGTAGTGTAGGCAACAATTAGGGCCAGCGTCTCCTCCCGCCTCCAGGCACCTGGTCCAGGCTCTTCACTGGGTTGTTCTAAACAAATGAAAAAAAATATAGAGATTATGAAGGGGAAACCAAAAAGAATCAGGAATATTTATATATATATATATACAGTGTTGTACAAGAATAATTTTCTAGTCTACTTAATCATATTTCTTCTTGCATCTTTACATAAACCATTTGCTGTGAGTGTACTTCAGCATTCTCATATTACTCACGTTCGCCAAGTTGAAGATCTTCCGGAGCATTCTCCTCATCCACTTCGGCACACTGCAAGTGTTCATCACTTGGCAGGAAAGCTGCAGTGTCATGACAATCAAGTTAGATCATCTGTATATGACTGTACAGAACACAAACAGCACGAACGAGCAATAGCTGGTTTTCCTATCTTTCAGAACTTGAAGGCTGCAATCAAAAGCGCTATAGTGCAGTGGGAAGTGCTGATTCGGGGCACCAACATAAGCGGGCAATTTAAATGCTGATCAAATACCTTGTCTTATATTCTGGGAAATGTGGATAAGGATCAGAAAGGGTCGACCACGTTACATACTGAAGCGCCTGGTTTAGCTTCTCGCGCGAGCACTTTTGTTCCCCTCAATCCTTTGGTAATCTAGGATCCAACCAGTGTTGGGAAGTACTTTAAGTACATTGTACTTAAAAGTACTACAAGCAGGTTTAGAAAACGTGTACTTTACTTGAAGTACATTCTCTGAGTATGTACTTCTACTCTTAAAAAATAATTGATGCTCTCAGCTTACCCTTGGGGCAATGTATTCCTCAATAAGACAAATCTCCACACGGCCAAGGGTTCGCGGATCTCGTCTCAGTAGCTCGTAACAGTGGTTCGATTTTGGTCAAGGTGAGAGCGAGCTTTCTCTGCTGTCGATTGGACGTGGTGTCACAGTATATACACAAATGGCAAGGGGTCTCGCGCTGATGTGCTAGTCTTGAGCCAATTTCTTTATCCACCGGTGAATTTCAGCGTGCACTGGAGCAAAACAAGTTAAGCACGGGTTGTCAAAATCGCTTCGAACAGATCCCAAACCTCGCCGCCGCAGACGATCAACTTTTTGTCGGTCATTTAGCAGACTACGTACGGTGACTTGTTTCATTTCCGTCTGCAGATGACGCTTCGCAGCACAAAAAATCTTTTCTTCGCACGCGCTAGCAGACGAATTCGTCTGCTAGCGCGTGCGAAATATGAAACGTACAGCTGGCTCCGCGAGAGGTGAATTAGATCTCGCGGTGACCAAAACCGAACCCCGGGAAATGGAACGAAATCGTTCTACTTACCATATTCGGTGCCGTCTATCATGTAAAAAACATGCTCCATTCCTTGGCTCATCTTGAAAGATCTCGGAGGTACGAGTAAGGGATTTGTAGGAGAAGGAGATGACGAGACAACCCGATCAGTTTCCTTTCTGTGGTTTCAGTTTCTGCAGAATCCCGCCGTTTCGCCGGGTTTCGCTTTTGTCGCTGTTATATTAGTTTATTGCAATATTCTCGTCGTCTCCGCCAGTCGGCGCGCTAATTTTCATTTTGCCAAATGCACGTAGTCGAAACTAGTCGAAGCAAGCCAAAACCCCCAAACCCAAACCGAAACGAGCATAACGGTAGTGACGTCACGGAGCGCGAAGAGGTCACTCGCACTCCGAAAAATACTAGGTGCACGAAGAGCGCGCTCGAGTGTCAGTCCCCGGCGGCGCTCCTGTCCGTTTAGTGAACGGAGCGCCATACTCTCGCGCTCCGGAGTGCGGACTTAACGCGCCCAATTTTGCCCGCCGAGCCTGGCGGCCGCAGACGGGCGGACTGGAGGGGGGCGCCACTAACTTGTTACACTCCTCCAAGAGGTACCCGGACCTTGTGCCGCTCGTCCCCGCCGCGTTCTCTTGCGACGACCACCCTGGCCGCGGGCTTGGCTGGAACCCGGGCTTGAACCAGGCTGCTGCTGCTGCTGCTGGCCGCCGCTCGTCCTCCCCCCTCGGCAGACACGTGCGAGGTGCCCAGTTCTCCCGCACGTAAAGCACTGTGCTTGGACGAACTGGCACCGTGAGGGGGAGCGGTGCCTGCAGCCGCTGCGGTGCTGCCCACTCCCCCTCATGGTGCCAGTTCGTCCATGCACAATGCTTTACGTGCGGGAGAACTGGGCACCTCGCACGTGTCTGCCGAGGGGGGAGGACGAGCGGCGGCCAGCAGCAGCAGCAGCAGCCTGGTTCAAGCCCGGGTTCCAGCCAAGCCCGCGGCCAGGGTGGTCGTCGCAAGAGAACGCGGCGGGGACGAGCGGCACAAGGTCCGGGTACCTCTTCAACCAGGGTCCACGTCGTGGCCGAGGACCCGCAGATTTTCGACGTGTGGCAGACGAGTAAGCCTCCATCGTCCGTGCCACGTTACTTGGTGTCCGTCGAAATCTGCGGCCGCCCCATCACCATGGAGCTGGACACAGGGGCCAGCGTGTCGGTCATGCCCGGGAAGCTGTTCAAGCGGACCTTTCCCGGCGTGTCCATCGAGGTGTCTGACGTCATGCTGCGCAGCTACTCCGGGCAGCTTTCCCAGGTCCAGGGTCGGGCCCAAGTCAGCGTTCGCCTTGGCGACAGGGAGGCAATCCTTCCCCTTTACTTAACCAAGGGGTCGTCGCCGACGCTGCTGGGCCGGAACTGGATTCACTCGCTGGGTGTTCGGCTGCCGGAGTACCAAGAAGCTGCGCTGCACGTGGTGAAGGACGTCCCGAGCCTCCTGACCGACTTCCAGTCCCTGTTCCAGCCAGGGGTGGGCACCTTCGCCGGCACGACGGTCGCCAACAACAGCACCAGTAGCGGCCAGCGGAGCACCACCCACCCCGGAGGCGACAAGCGTCGCCACTCCTGTGGCACCAGTGCCACTTACAAATCCGGTCCCTGCAGCTCCACCGGGTGGAGCGCAACCGGTTCAGGCAGCGCCCGGCGTTGCCACACCTGGCCCGTCGACACCAGTACCCAGGCGGAGTGCACGGCAGCGGAGGCAACCTGACCGCTACTCGCCGGGGTGACCTTCATCGTCGACAGGCCGGGACTTTGCATGACCAGACACCGAGATGGTGTCGGCCGTGTGTGTTTATTCGTGTATTTTGTTTTTAGGAAAAACAAACTGGGGGGGAGGAGTGTAACAAGTTAGTGGTGCCCCCCTCCAGTCCGCCCATCTGCGGCCGCCAGGCTCGGCGGGCAACATTGTTCACCGCACCAATAAACGCCGTTGAGCGCACGCGCTCCGGCCAGACATCGTCCACCCTCACAACCAGGCTGCGTGTCGTCTCTTCTCGGCGGGTGCTTCGGCCCCCTTCGTCCACGTTCGAGAAAGATCGTGACACGTGTCTCCTGAAGGGCCAAGACCACCGGCTCCCAAGCGGCGTGCCAGGTCTAGCGCCCAGCACATCCGGACGCGAGAGGAATCCGAGCTCCTGAGGGTACTCGGACAAACTTCGAGCGCAATGGCAAATTCATGCACAAGGCCACACATGGACAGCAGTAATCCTGCCATCATGGTATTTGCACTGAGCATCAGCCATGAATTAGCATTGGTGACTCAGCACCTGCAGGCTTCAGCAAAGTTTGAAATACATAAAATAATTTATAAATTTCAGCAACAAGGTTACTTTGACGAGTGTGAGCACTAGGTTGGCAACTGTATAGGTTCACAATTTCTTTCATTCGAGTCTTTTATATGTTTGTTTGCAATTTCATATAGCATTTACTTTTGGCACAGTCATGGAAAAATACCTGCTGCCAAACCGTGGTTTCATTTCACCTTCATTCTATAACCTTTAGTTACATTCATACTTGACAATAGAAGCGTTAACTATTACCTCAAAGTTTTGGAAGAAAACAGCAGGAATGACACTTCTAATAGGGTATGATGTGCACAGGCACAGAACAAGGTTTTCTGTTACAGTGTTATAAGACCACACTTTTTAATACAATAAAAAAGTGTGAAAGTAAACTGACACTAGCTCAGGTCTAAAATGGCCGCTCTGCTACCTAGGAGAACTAAAGATGTTTGACTCGCGCAAATAGGACCCTTCTTTTTTATTTGGCATGCTTTTTTATCTGTTGAGATAGTTGGTCCTTGTGTCCGAGTAGCACACCAATATCATCCAAATGTGGTTAACAGCAACATCTACCTCTAACGGCAAATGTGGCTCTTAACGACACTGTTCAGAAACAAGGACCAACTATCTCAATATATAAAATAAGCATACCAAACAAACGAGGTTCCCTTTCGCGTGACCTGAACATGTTAATACCCCTGTCGGACGGCATTTTAAAGATCCTTTTCACTAAGCTCCTTTTTAAAATCGAAGAACCAGCGCACGCCGTAGAGCACGTGCGCACTCAACATCGTGAGCAGATTAGCCGATTTTATAAAGGAGCCTAGTGAAAAGGATCTTTAGAACGCCATCTGACAAAGGGTGGAAGTAAACACAGGCTGTGCCGTAAACACCTAGCCTGTGTTTACTTCCACCCTGTGTCATTTTATAAAAGAATATGGTCTGGACACTGCATTACAAAACTTTGTTCTTTGCCTATGCACATCCTTCCTGAGCAGAAGTGAAGGCTGTGTTGCTTTTATCACAAATGAAACCTTCAGTTCAACATTCCCCTGGTTTGTCCAGTCACTACTTTGTTCATGTTTTAAGCTGTTCTCACAATAACTTGTACCTACTGGATGCTCCCTCAGTATATGTTAGGCATATTTTAAATAAGAGGAACACAAAAGACAAATTCATAAGTGTTTGTGAATTTTTTTTTTGTATGAGCGCTTGTTAAGTTACAACTTGTGTTCCAGAAATCTTCTGTCCAGGTGCATAATATGTTGCCAGGTTTGAACACAGCTAAGGTGTGTGCAATATGACAAAGACTTCAATGAACAAGCAAGACACCACTGATGTAAAAGTGTGCAATATGTTAAGTGCAGGTTTTTGATTATGTTTGCAGTGTTCAACAGCAAAGTATTATTTAGAGTTGCATCATTTTACTGTGATAAATACTGTGACCTTGCATATTCCACATGTGCCTTTGAATAAATTACCTGTACTGCACTGCTCCAAAGGAATTGCAAGTTATCTAACTGCAAGTTTATTTCCCGCAATTTTACATGGCAAATATATACAGGCAAATCCAAAAGCATTTCACAAAGAAAACAAATTGCACAAAACAAGGGCTGAAACACACTCAAATCTCTGTTGTGCCTTCCTTCCAAAGGTTTTGTGAATGCCGCCTCACAATTACACATTACAGTCCTAACAATCTACCTACCGTATTTACTCGCATAATGAACACGGTTGTTTTCCCGAAAAATTGACACATATTTGGGGGGCAGCGTTCCTTACACAGGGTAAAATTTTTGCATTTACACAATTCGTTCAAATGTTATTTTAGGTACTAATATGACATGGCAGGATCCTGTGGCACGTCTTTACTGATGGAGGCACACCCATGGCTGGTCATGAGCGCACCACAGTCCAACCTCTTTAAATAGCAAACCGTTTTTAGGGCGCTTTTGGCACGCCTTTTGCCGAAAAGGAAGCGCCCTACGAAGCTCACTGAGCACGGAGAGCGACGCAACCGTTCTTAGGCCTATCCACTTTCACAATACACTGTCCGAAAGTGGATAACAGACGATGGCGTTTTTGTTGACATCAGTGCATCAGATAGACGAAGCATGTCCGGGGCTGGGCAATTCCTCAACCCCAGCATCACTACGCATGCCCACTGCTCGGTTTCACGGTTGATCACTTCTGCAACCACGCACTGCAGCCATTACAAGAGCGGCTTGGCTTTGCTTAACTTGGCGTGGCCTCTTGGTGGCAAAAGAAAATTGGCGGGCTTTGGTGGATAGCCGGCTAAGTCGGACGCAGTTCAAGACAAGTGCTGCCGGGAAACTATACCCAAGTGTGGGTCAAGACAGAGGTCTATTGCCACCCAAGGTTAGCCCTTGCCGCCAAAGAGGGGTGAAAAAGGAGTAAGAGAAATGAGAGAGAAATAAAAGAAGCAGGAAAGGTAAAGGTAAAAGATTGGAGGGGATAGTAGAAGAAAAGGCGACTAGACAGAATCATCCTGGCCGGGCCTTACCAGGGCTCCCGTCTACAGGAAGCAGGGGCTAAAGTGGTGTGTTGCCTCGCCCGGGGGGCCCCGAAGGGTCCAAACCTACCCCGGGCTCGGCTCAACCATCAGGATGCCCTTTTCCCTGGACACGGGCTCGCCACGCACAGCTAGACGTGGGCGGGTCCTACCCAGTTTTTACTCAGGGTGGTAATGTTGCCAATGTGGCTGGGGTCCATGGTGACGCTACTCACCAAGCACCTAGCACATAATGTGCAGGTGCCCCCTGCGAGGCGCGGGGTCCGTGGAGACTCCACTCTCCAAACACCTGTTTTCACAGGTGCCCTCTGCGGGGAGCACTTAGTGCGAGAAACTCGCAACTACTTTGCACACAGCAGCTGCCGGCAAGATAGTTATAAGAAACTTCATGCCAGCATGTCGGTGGACGATGAAAGTGTAGAGCCACCGCCCAAGTTTTTATCACTTTCGCAGACAAGGTGGCTTGCTATTGCAGACTGCATCGAAAGAATTTTGGAGCAATATCAGGCCCTCCAAGAGTTTTTTTGAGAAAGCAGAACAAAGCAGGTTACAACGTGCGCAGTTTGCGAGAGATGTATCGGGACAGAAAAAATCATGCCTACCTTGTGTTCCTTGCCTCAGTTCTCCGTAGCGTCAGACGGGTGAACAAAATGTTCCAGACCAACGCGCCCGACACATTGGTTGTCTTTCAAGAGCTAGAAAACTTCTATTTGGAAGTCCTAAGACGAATTTTGCACCCATCAGTCTTGAGGCACAACACAACGGAAAGCCTGCTGTCTCTAGACCTGGTGAAGATGAGGTCTATCTTTTTGCAACCAGAGACGGCGGATCTGGGCGACGTCTTCAGGGAGAAACTTTCTCTAGTCTCTACTGAAGACCAAGGGGTCGTGAGGGATCGCTGCTTCCAGTTCTTGAGGCAGATGGCGATACAACTCCAGCAGCGGCTTCCAAATGCCTCGTCTACACTTCGGAGGCTGCACGCCATCAATCCTGATAATGTAGAGAGTGCGAAGAGCCGTGAAGGCATACTGAAACTGCCGCTGCATTTTTTTTAAATGTTCCTCCATCGAGCTGGAGTCGGAAATACGGCAACTGCAAACTGTTATCGGTGCATTTGATCGCACATCATGTTTGAGTTTCTGGCATGCAGCGGCATTGTACAAGGACACTTGCGGCGAATGCCCTTTTCCACACCTGGCGCGAGGTGCATTGAAAATTTTGTCTCTTCCAGTTCCTAATGCTGATGCTGAGCGCGTGTTCTCTTGTATAAACCTGACAAAAACAGAGATCCGCAACAAAATGAAGCTGAACCTACTCATGGCGATCCTACGAGTCAAGTTTGGTCTACAGCTTCAGGGAAAAACAACTGCGACATTTAACATCCCAACTGAGTTGTTGACTAGAATGTGTCAAAATTACTCTGGCAAGAACACTATCTATTCTAGATAAACTATGTACAGGCCCACCGAACATTTAATAATTTATTTATTTGCGACACACCTGTGACAAAGCAAAGGTGCCAAACTTTTTGTTGTATTTATTCTGTTCCCTGTGTTGATTCAAAATGCTATCCCTGATTGTTCGAATTTACTAATAAAAACAGCATTCATAATATTGCTTCTGTTCATTTTGGCTACAAATTTGGTGCTAAGATTAAATGGTATGGCTACTTTTAGCATGACTTTTGGCTTCTTTCAAAGTCTGCCCAACGGCAACCGTGCTACTGGCACCAATAGGTGTTTGTTTTTCTGGGAGCACATGTGTGGGATGCGAGTAGGAGGATGTGAAAATGTGATGTTTTCATCATGTTTAGGAACATTTGGCATTTCTTGTTTTAATCAATGTGTCCAAGAAAAGCCTGGGGGAACTGCAACAAGCTGGGGTTAACCCCCAACTCCGTCCCGTGGCAGCTGTGGTGAGCGCAATTTTTCTCTTTGTCCTCAGATTCCTGAAGCAAGTTCATAATATTTTCACGGTTAACCTTCTTTGCTAAAGTGTTCTTATAGCCAACTTTGCTTGTTCTACCTGCTTTTATGTTTGGAACTGTTGCCGCACGACCGCGTTAGGGAAAAAGTTCGCCGCCTCCTAAAGGAAGGACACGGCTAACACGTCTTCTGCTCGAAATTATCTTTGTAAAATGTAACGTTCAATCAACAGTTGTTCAGTTCGTCCAATCTGGTTCTACAACACAGGCGTGCTGCTCAGCACGAGCAGCATCTTGGCCCTACAGAACACCCTTCTGCATGAAGATAGGTATGCATTTGTACTTACTAGCCGCTTCACTCAAGACAGCTGAGAAAATCTGTTCTCTGTGGTAAGGGGAAAGAATCCCACTCCAACCCCATACCAGTGCAAGGCTGCTCTTCGGATCATCAGCGTGTCTCAATACTTGAAGGCACCAGCACACAGCAGCTACTCCATCGACGATGGGGCACCCTTCTTGGCAAACTACCGATCTTCCGTTCCTCAAGAGCTGCATGAGGTGGTGGCAGGCACGAGGAAAGCTCACCCAGATCAGGATCTCGTGATGCTAAGCACTGAGAAAGCATTTGTTTGTTGGTCAGCTTGTTGTTCAGCTTGCAGAAACGCTACAGTAGACCCAGGAAACAATGACAAAGCGGTGGGTTTAACGCTGTCAAAGTGTTTCAAGGAGGATGCCTTGACTGTTCACAGTAAGAAACTTGTTTCTCTTTACCATGTCTGCGAGACAGTGTTCCGCCGGAATGAAGATGTGCTTCATGAACCGAAAGGCCGCACCGACAACCTCGTTGAAAAAATTACAAAAGCAGCCGCAGCTGTTCACTTCCCAGACTGTCCTCCGTTCAAGACGCATTTGATTAGAAGGTTGGTTGTGATGCGGATTCGAATTTTCCTTAAGGAGTTAAGCAGGTGCCAGCATCAAAAACAAAAGAAGGCCTTGGAGGCAAGGAAGTTTGCTAGTGCTGCGACTGCTAGGAAGTAGATCTGTTTGTCTTCGTGCATCCCTGTAACGATGTAGATGGGAATTTTTTTATCAAACATTGTGGGGCAAATCGGAAGTACACAGCCATGTGCCTATGTTAGAATCAACATTTGACTACAAGAGAAACATGATCGCCTGTTTTATTTCCTTGTGTTTTTCTTATTCTACAGATCGTTTTTAATTCTGCCGAGCGACACCTTTACCTTTCAGGACGCTGAAAGGTGGGTTTGAATATTGTCACGGGTGGTGACCAATAAACAAGAAATAAACAGTAATAAATAAACGTTTAATGTGGCAAACTTGTGCCAAAAATAAAAGGGTACAAAAGATAATAACAGGGCGTCGCGGGCGTCGAAGTAGGCGCAGCAGCAGAGTAGAACGCTGGGGCCCAAACTGACTCTGCTCGCCTTGCGGAATCCCTATGCACCCACGTGGGTTTCCTCGAATCAGCCAATCGAACCTCGAATCAGCCAAGACGGTTCTCGATTTCACCAGAACATCAAATTACACTGTCAACAAAAATGAGTAGCCGCGGCCAGGAATCGAAGCCTGGCCTTCTGCGTGGGAGGCAAGCGCGATAACCGTTAGGCCACGCGCGCGCTGCCTACTTGGCCAGCTGCGCGCGCGGCAATATGTCAAGTTGTCCTACCTTTGTATCATTTTAAATGTTCAGGTTATTTTCATTTGCCATTTTTGTTGCCATGTTTTGTCATTTTCACTTGTGTTGTTTATGTTGTGCCAGTTGATGTTTTCGCTTGCAGACATGTGTATTAGACATGTTTGCTGGCCTGTACAATGAATTGAGGTAGTGGAGATGCAACTGCAGAAGTTCCTTTATATATGCATGTGAAGTGCTCATGATCAAAATTGAGTGGGCTGTTCTTTTGATAACTTGTTTTATATTTTCCAGTCAAATGATACACTGTGTATTTTGCCACACTACACCATCCAGAATTGTCTACAAAGCAACCCGCTATCTGGACAGAACATGATAGCGAGAAGTGGCATGTTGGTAGTCGTGCATTCCGGTGATTAATGAACACATAGACTGAGCTGGCGCTAGCGAGACCCATCATGAGCTGGCTAGAAGAGGCAGTGAATAAAGCGCCACCTTAAAAATCCATGGTCCTAGAGTTTTTGATAAAATATCGTTCACTATAAACGATCGAGCGACCGCGGGAGACTTTTAATCGAGACGCCCCTGCTGGTACTCATGGAGACGGGAAAACAAAGCCTCGCGAACCGCGAGCTTTGTTTTAGGAACCGTGGAAATTGATTGCGTAAAGCATATACCAGCAAGGTTCCGTCAATAACGACACTACAATAATGCGGGGCTCGTTCTGTTCGGATATTGTATCGGCAAACTTGTACAGCGAGTTTCCAAATTTTATTTTAAGTTGTCGGTTGCCCGTATTCGTAGCAATTAAGCCCAATCCATTCTTAACGCGACAATTTTCAATGGCGCGGCAAAAGTGCATAAAACAAACTCAAACCACGCCCTAGCTCGCGTACAAGCCAAGACAAAAAGAAAACAACCTTAAACGACGCCAGCCGCTCACGTAAAAGATCAGCCAAAACGAAAACAGGCAAACTACGCCCACCGCTTGCATGCACTATCATTGAAAAAGAAGACGGGCTTGAACCATAGAGTAATATATACTACAGGGAGTTTCAAACCCAAGTTTTGACTCAAAAATTGCCCGCCCGTCAAACATCAGTGGCTTAATGTATTCAGTAGAAACTTTCCTCGAACACATATTTTAAGAGTCCCATTTCAATTTTTCTGCGAGGACCTGACCAGTAAAAAACGTATTTGAGGTAAGTTTCTTGTTAATTGTCCATGGCACTTCACAGCACACATAAAACGGTGGTCACTGGTCGCGTTCGCGATCGCATTCGGAGGCCCCGAACGTAGTAGTAGTAGTAGATTGGGGTTTTGTGGCGCAAAAGCAACTAAGGCTATGATGCGCCAAGAAATGATACTATTGCAGAAGAGGGTTTTGAAGAAAAAAGAGCTTTAGTAGCTGGTAATTTCAAAAATGTATAAAATAGGACTAGGACCTTATATTATATATAATGCTACAATTTGTGTAAAAGATAAATACTTTTTAAAAACTTAAAAACCTGAGTGGGTGGGAGTAGTGGCTCATTTCCAAGCAGCACACATAGGTGTAGAGGAATATGCTCTTTGTAGAGCTGGGAGAAGTAATGGCGGCGTTTATCATCATGCGCAGGGCATTCGAGAAGGATACAAGGTATATGCACATGGGTAGAGAAGCTTCGGCCAAAAAGCGGTTCAAAACAAATCGCCAGCGACATCGGCCCGGAGGGTCACGTGAAGGATGCGATTGAAGCGCGACTAGGAGAGGTGGGGACAAACATCATTGAAATTAATTAGCTTGTGACTAGAGGCATAATCATTTGTATTTTTAAACAAGCTAAATATAATTATTAGATATTATCAGTCATATTTAGCGCGCTACAAAATTCAAAACTGTCTTTGTTTTTGCTAATAATATGCATACTTCTTATTAGCGTCCTCTGTACGCCACTAGCAAAAAGGCCGGCTAGCAATAGCGATATTCACAGTTCTTTGTAGACATTGTGGCGCGCGGAAAGACAGGCAACGTCCGACTGCTTGCTTGTGTTTGGGCGTCCACGTGCTCTTGGGGGCGCTGTCTGCTGTTACCTACGGAAGACGTGCTTCACATCGGCCCCGTGTTGCTGATCGATTTATTGCGTCCAAATCATCGACACCTCGGAATTTTCGGTGCCAATCGAACGAGCAAGTCTTCCCGGTCACAGGGAGGTATCGGCAGTGAGTGAGTGTCGATTTTGTGGGAGTTTGCGTGTTCGCCGGCCGGGTGGGGCCGCTAGGCCTAACTCGAGCACGTCGACATGGAGGATCCTCTCGGCGGTTCTACGGTGGATGTGGCCAAGAATGGCGGTCCGACGGTCGTCTCGATGGTCGGGGAGGATGTCGACCCTGATTTTTGTGCAGGCTGGATGCGCGCTCGGGCACGCGGGGGTACTCAGGTGGAGAAGGAGCCCAGGCCTAGTTCCTACGTGGCCCGGAAGGTCATCGAGAAGGTCAAGCGCATGGGGAGGATGCCGAGAGTGGGACTGGAGGGCGAGAACAAGGTGGTGGTGAGGCCGCGAGGTGGCCTGGATTTGAGGAAGACGTCGATCGTCGTCGTGGCGGACGCAATCCGGGCGGCGGCTGGGATCTCGGAGGAGGCGGCCTCGTTGGATACGCAGTGCCCGAACGTGCAGCAAAATGTGGTGGTCATCAGTACGGGGAGCGACGCCAGGGCGGTCAAGTATGCTGCGGTGACGTGTATCTGCGTGGCGGGGAGGTCCTACGAAGTGTGGGCTTACGTCACGGCTCCCTTTGACACCGTCAAGGGGGTGATCCGTGGCGTCCCGGTGCACCATACGGCGGAGGAGATTGAGCGACTTCTCATCGGGCCCAGGAACCCGACGGTGCGAGCGGCGGAGCGTATCGGCTCTTCGGCAACGGTCGTGGTGATCTTTGGGGGTGACTTAGTGCCGTATCAGGTGTTCTACGGCGGGAGTGTGTTGCGGTGCTCCCTGTATAGGAAGCACTATGAGGTGTGCAAGACGTGTGGCCGTGTCGGTCATCGAACTGATGTGTGCCCAACCCCCGGCGTCAGACGGTGCTTGGGATGTGGCGGAACTCCGGACCCGGGACATACGTGTAGTCCCAGATGTGGCTTGTGTGGGGGTCCGCATGTTACCGGGGATAAGGTGTGTAAGAATCGGTTTCGTACGCCGTACATCGTTCGTAGGCGGCTGTGGGAGAGAGCGGAGCGGGGTCTGTCCGGGGATCGGCCGTCTCCTCCCCCGCGGGGTTCTGCGGAAGAATACCCTAGGCTGGTAAGGTCTCGCGAGTCTGAGAGGCCGGCGGCACGTAGTCGCAGCAGGAGCACAAGTGGTCAGATCACGTGGGCCCAGGCGGTGCAGTCTGATCGGGGAGAGGTTGCCAAGTTGCGTGAGGAGAATCGTAGGCAAGCTGCTGAGGTCGTGGAGCTGAGAAGGGAGAACAAGAAGTTAGTGAAGACCGTGGAGGAGCTGAAGGCACTGGTCGAGGGCTTGGTTCGTCGGCTGGACAGTTCGGCTCCTCCCTCGGGACCGGAGGACTCTGCCCCTCCCGCCAAGCGCAGGAGTGTGGAGGCTCGCAGATGTAGGGGGGAGGGTGTTGAGGACAGGTTTGAGGAGATTGAGGGCCATGTCGGTCTGGTGGAAGACGGGGTGAAACAGCTTAACGAGAAGATGGATTCGATCATGAAGGTGCTAACGGTGATGCAGGGTACTTTACAGCGAAATTCAGAGGGACAATGGCATCAAGCTTAAATATCTGGGTCTGGAACTGTAACGGTTTTAGGAGTAAGAGGGCCAGGTTACAGCAGTACATTATAGGGGTAGGGGGTTAAGCCGGATGTGATAATGGTTCAGGAGGTGGTACAGGAGGATGTGAGTCTCCCCGGCTACGTCACGTACCGGTCTAGTGGGGGTCCTGCGGGCCGCCGCAGGGGGGTCTGCACGTTCGTGCGGCGGAGTCTTCCGGTCCTAGTGCACGAGCTTAAGGGGGACGAGAACGTCGAGAGGGTGTTGACCGAGGTGTTAGTGGGTAGATTGGGGGTCTGTCTGTGCAACGTGTACAGTAATCTGCGTTTCGGCAGACAGAGTTTCAGGAATCTGCTGCATGGATGTGCGCGTTGGGCCGATGGCAGGGGCTTAGTCGTTTCCGGGGACTTTAACGCTAGGCACGAGTTCTTGGGCCACGCGGCTACCACGGTCAAGGGGAGGAATTTGTTCCAAGACGCGGAGGAGGTGGGGCTGATCCTCGTCACGGATCCGGGGGTGCCGACGCGGCCCGCGCGGAACGCGATTGAGAGGGATACCACCCCGGACCTAGCCTTCGTGGACGCTCCCGGGGCGGAGTGGCGGAACGCGCTGGAGGATCTGGGTAGCGATCACCGTTTAGTGGAGCTCTCGGTTCCCCTGGCAGTTCGGAGGAAGGAGTTTAGACCCCAGGGGTTGGTGAACTGGGATGCCTTCAGGCGGCTGGGTCCGGAGGGGGAGATAAGCGATTTGGGGGAATGGTCCGCGAGTTTGGTGGACGCTGCCAGGTCGGCTGAGCGGCCCGTGGTGGTGGAGTCGGAGGATGTGGGGCTGGTGGATAGCAGGTTAGGTGCGCTTGTCGAAGCCCGGGACTCTCTGCGGAGCCGTTGGCGGGAGCGGAAGAATCGTGCGCTGCGGAAGCGGGTGGCGCAGTTGAATGAAGATATTCGGAGGCACTGTGAGGCCCTGTCCAGGCAGCAGTGGGACGATGTGTGCTATAGGGCGGAGGGCAAGATGCATAGTGGAGACACGTGGAAGCTGCTGCGGCACCTGCTGGACGAGTCCAGGACGAGGAGCTTCTAGTGTAGGAGAATGGGGGAGGTTGTCGGTCGGGCTGTCAGGGAGCTTGGTGAGGAAGGGGTTAAAAGGCAGTTGTTGGATACGTTCCTTCCGAGTTGCGGCAGGGAGGTCCACCCGGAGTACACGGGGGTTGACAATGCCGAGTTGGATAAGGATTTCGAGCTGTGGGAGGTTAGGGCTGCCTTGCTGCGGATTAATCGGAGGTCGGCGCCCGGGCTGGACCGGGTGGATAATAAGATGCTTGGTAACTTGTCTGAGGAGTGTTTGGAGGCCCTGCTTGATTTCTTCAACAGGTGCTGGAGGGAAGGGAAGCTGCCTGCGAAATGGAAGAAAGCCAAGATGGTTCTTATTCCGAAGCGTGGGAAGCCACCGGGGCTCCAAAACCTTAGGCCGATCTCGCTCACTTCCTGTGTGGGGAAGGTTCTGGACCACATGTTACTGCGGAGGTGGCAATCCTTTTTGGAGGACAAGGGGGTCTTCCCGAGCTCGATGTTCGGGTTCAGGGAGGGCCTGGGGGCGCAGGACGCGATGTTGGTGTTGTACCACGAGGTGATTGAGCCGAGGCGGCCGGGCGCGGTTCTGGGTCTGGACTTGCGCAACGCGTTTGATAGAGTCCGGCATTCTGCCATCCTTCGCGGCGTGGCGGATGCGGGGCTCGGCAGACGGAGCTATAACTACGTTAAGGACTTCCTGTCGGGCCGGACGGCTCGGCTGCTGGCGGGGGACTTGGATGTTGGTGAGGGGGAGCTGGGTAGTGTCGGCACCCCACAGGGCTCCGTCATCTCTCCGGTCTTGTTCAATTTAGTGATGGTGGGGGCCGCCTGCGGTCTCTGTGAGGAGGGGATTCCGCACTCTATATATGCGGATGATCTTACGCTGTGGTGCACCAATCGGAGGAAGGAGGTGGTGCAGGGTACGCTGCAGCGAGGGATTGAGATTATTGAGGAGGCGCTGATGGGTTCGGGGTTGGAGTGTGCTCCCGAAAAGTCGGAGTTGCTAGTGTGTTATGCTGGGCGTTGTAGATGGGATGAGATGCGGCTGATCGCCGGCGGGGGACCCGTCCCGAGGGTGGACGCTTTGCGGGTTCTGGGGCTATTTGTTCAGGAGAAGGCGGGTAATTCGGTCATGCTCGGGAAAATTCAGGGTAAGGTAGCGTCTGCTCTGCGCATGATCCAGAGGGTGACCAGCAGGAGGAAGGGTATCCGCGAGGCCGGTGTGATGAGGATGGTTCAGGCTTTTGTATTGAGTCACATCATGTACGTGGCGCCCTACCTTCGCTGGAGGGCGGGGGAGAAGAACAAGCTGGATGCCATGGTCACAGGGCTTACAAATCTGCGTTGGGGCTGTATGCCTTCACTAGCACGAAGCTGGAGATGTTGGGTGCGCACAATACGATAGGGGAGATTGTCGAGGCGCACAGGGCTTCGCAGATTCAAAGGCTGGAGCGCACTGCGGCTGGCAGGGGGGTGTTGAGGCGTGTCGGTCTGCTGGCGGAGGATGCGTCTGACGGCGGGGGACTGACGGGAGAGGTGATGAAAAATGTCAGGGTTAGGCCTGTGCCGAAGCACATGCATCCTGTGCGTGATAAGGGACGAAGGGAGGCCAGAGCGCAGGCCCTCTTCAGGTTGTACGGGCGACAAGATAGTACTGTATACGTTGACGCTGCCCTTCGAGGGGTAGTGGGGGTGGCTGTGGCTGTGAAGGCGGGAAGTGGGGAGGTGCTCTCCGCTGTGAGTGTTAGAACTAGTAATATTTGTGAGGTGGAGGAGACGGCCATTAATTTGGCGGCCTCCCTGCCAGGGACCAAAGTGGTCATGAGTGACTCTATGAGTGCGATAAGGAACTTTGCGCGTGGACGCGTTGGGGTGGTGGCCAAGAGGCTGCTGCGTCCGACGGGCGCGGTGGACATTGTGTGGTGCCCCGCTCACGAAGCGGGCAACGTGGATGCTGACCGAAGGGCCCGAGAACTGCTTGGCCGGGCCTTCGGGGGCGCCGCGGAGTATTCGCCCAGCGGCTTTGGGGAAGTGCTAAGGACCAGGAGGGAGGAACGGCGGGTGTTCCCGCTGCCCCACGGGGATTTGGTTAGGGAGGATGCCGTGCTGTTGCGGCAGTTGCAGGTGGAGTGCGTGGTTACTCCTGTGGTGGGGCGCTATGTGGCGCCTGAGGTGTACTCAAGTGATAAGTGCGTGCTGTGTGGTGCGCGGGCAACTGCGGAGCACGTGTTGTGGGACTGCGAAACTCGGCCGGCGGAGGCGGCCACGTCGAGTGGGCTTCCGCCGGACATCAAAGCCGGGGTGATGGCTAGTAGCCTGGACCTCCAGGTAGCGGTCGTCCAGCAGGCCCGGCGTCTACTGCGCAGGCAGGTCCGACCTCGGGCCCCCTGCGCTGGGGCGTCGGATGGTGTGGGCCGCACCGGCTAGGCTTGACGTAGCTCTGCAGGCAAATAAAGACGTTTTATTCCTCCTCCTCCTCCACGTGCTCTTCGCTTTTAATTGTTTTAGCGGCAGTTAACACCGTTTGGAAAGTTTTGTTTGCTCGGGCGTGATTAGCCATGTTACTTGCGCGGGAACTTGGCACTCGTGCGCTTGGACCTTGGACACTACTGCGTCCAAGGGGCTCAACGTGCGACGATGAGCACAGCGCGATACGCAAGGAAACGGTGCTCCGTGGAAGTGTGTGAAAGCAACACCCGCACGGCTGGCATCTCGCTGCACCGGTTTCCCCTCGACTCTCGAAGGTGAGACTTAGCTGCTGTCAGTAACATGCCTGCTGTGTGATGCCATGCCCCATTGTTCGGTCTTCCTCTTAACTCTTCTTAGTTTTACCTAAAACTGTTATGGTTGTCTGATGTGCACAAGAAAGTACACCCGGAGGCGTAATATGCTATAGTAGGAATGTTGACTTCGCAGCGTTGTGTGCTGTCATTATAAAACTGCCCACGATATTCAAATTTACCTGTACCGGCCTGGCTCTGAGGAGCCTAGTGTCGTGATCATCGGCGTGGTTATCAGTGGTACAACACAGATATTTAGTACGGCATCTGTGCCTAAGACTGATGTTTTAACTCCTCATGATGTACATGGAGCATTGATGTCATGCATTTGTTAATGTCCTTGCTCTGATTTGCTTCGGTTTGTGGACATTTTGGCTACGTTTTCTTCTCGTAAGTATTCACGGCTCCCACATAGCACCATGCCTTATCTGCAGGCGCGAAGCCTGGGCTCACTTCTGCAACAACCGAAGTTTACAGGGGAAGACTCCATGGCAGCTACGAGACATAGTAGTTTGCTCCTTACATTTTGAGGAGTCAGCTTTCCTGCAGCCTGGACACCTCCGTCACAATCCGTTGCCAAGTGTGCTTCCCACAAAAGCTAAGCAGACCAATAAACCTTCCGTGCACTTTGTGACTAAGCATGGTTAACCCGTTCTTAGAAAAATAGTTACCACATGGGGCTGAAATATTGCTTCTGAGGGCTCATAACATTTTTATATTATTTGCAGAGACAACACATGGCGAAATTTCCAGCAAAAGCTATCCAGGTTCAGCAGTTGTGCATGGTGAGCTTTTTCATTGTAACTAACATAAAGTGGCAGCAACTGCCAGCACCACTGCATTACCTCATGGTCTTCATGACCTGAGCATTTTTCAATAGAACTAGGTGAGATTAGCTGGAAAAAGCTGATAGAACATGGTCAGAGGTACTGCTAGAAGTTAATCTCAGGCCCGTTTATAATGACACGTTTTATTTGAGGTGGCATAATCAACGTCAATATCAGTCCACAGAGCATCTTTTGCCATGCCGACACCCAGTCTTCCAAAATAAAGCTGCCCATAAAAGAAAGTGATTTACATTTTGTGTTAAAATAGGCGAATTCACCGTATATCTGCAGAGGCGAGTTCGCCACCCTCACTGAGCTACATATACTTC